AGAGAGAGAGAGAGAGAGAGAGAAAGAGAAAGAAAAAGAGAAAGAGAAAGAGAAAGAGAAAGAAAAAAGACAGACTTGAAAGTCACACTGCCTGGATTGAGTCATCCCCTCTTCTTACTTGCTGGACCTCGGTTTACTCCCAATGCGATAACTGTAGTGCATACCCCAGAGGGTTGAGAGGAGAATAAGTTGATATGTGTAAAAGACTTCAGTAGAACTCAGTCAACTAATGTGACTTTTGTTAAGGAAATTTTGTGCTGTTGAGATGCTTTTTGGTTTTGAAGAGGTCAGCTTACCTCCTATATTTCTTTCCCCCACCCCCAAATTTGAAAGTCTGCCCTGCTCAGGTTTTCATGGACAACATGACCGAGTGTGGCCTCACTCTCGTGCCTGGCCCACACCATTAGCAAGGAAATGCTCTGAGCCTTTGTCCCTGGCTTATTTATTGTTGCTCCCTGGCAGCCATCCGCTGGCCTGGGGAAAACAGCTAGATTTCATTCAAATTCAATCTCTCTTGATACCATCTCTGCTGGATATTAGAGTTAGCAACCTAATTAAGAAGAGATTCAGGCCGGAATGTTCTAAGTGCTCTAAAATTACTGTTACAAAGTTTCTCTCCATGCCTACCCATTTCTTGTGGCTTCCTGTCCCTGCCCGGTCCATCTTGCTAGCACAGGAACCCAGCCAACCCTCCTGTGGCTTCCTTGTGTTGGACACTGAGATGAGTCTTTCTTCAAATTTCAGGTACGAGTTCTCTCCTGCCGCCTGGAGTCCCAGGACCCTCTGTATGAGTGACGCTTCGGTCTGCCATGGACCCTGGCCCTGCGCTGGCCTGGCTTCTGCTCCTGAGTCTGCTGGCTGATTGTCTGAAAGCCACTCAGTCCCGAGACTTCACGGTGAAAGACATTATCTACCTCCACCCTTCAAGTAAGACTGTTTTCTTTGGTGCAGAAATGTTGCTTTATTTCAAAGAAGAAATGGGTTGAAAAATGGCCAGGAAAAGGCAGCCTTCAATTCAAGGGAGCTCTAGTGATTTAATTCGGTGTGCAATGTTTAACAAAGCATGCTTTATGTTTTAGTCTCACCTTGTCATAGATTTTAATTTTTTATTTTAAGTCATATCTTTAAGATTATTTCCTCTGTTCCCTACATAATCACTCTGGCTCTGAATACTGTTCCTTTTCACTCATGCCAGCCCTTGGTGAGCAAAGCGAAATCACCCTGTCCCAGGAGAAAGATGATTTTAAAAGGCCAGTTCTTTATAGGTAAGATAATAGCTGGTCATCTTCTCTGAGCATCTAATTCTCGATTTCAGCATCATTGCCTCCAACAACTTCCTTTTCCTGTGCTTTTTGGCTTCTCGTGTCTAAGAATAATCTAGCAAGCAGATGATAATGTAGATGCCCAGATCCCGGCCCCAGAGTTTCTGATATGCAGGTGTCCAGGGCTTTGCCTGTGGATTTTTGCTTTCAATAGGCATTTCAGGTCCTTTGCATCTGAGGATCACCCTTGGGAAACACAGCAGTTTGACTTCTCTTTTGGTCTCCAGCTCTTTATTTATCTTGTCTCTTTTATTTTAGCGTGAATGCTCTTCTGTAGTGTTCCTCTGGTGGTGAGGGCAGGGTATATTGTGTTTTCTGACCTTTAAGCTTTGGCCCCCGGGTACATGACTCTTTTGAAATGTTCTCAGCCAATATTATTTGCATGTCCACTGTGTGCCAAGCAATGTGATCGACATGAAAGGTAGAAAGAAAATAAGACGCACTCTTTGCTCTTAAGGATGTTATCGTTTACAAAGTAGAGGAAGCCAGTTAGATACCTTGGGTCCCTCATGGCCGGAATAGTTCATATCTACAGTTTGGGTTTAACTGAGAAATGGAAAGGGGAATGCACGAGGTCTTTGAGTCTACCGACCTTGAGTTAGCAACTAACTCCACTGCATTGTAGCCTTTTGGTATAAAATAAATTCCCTAACTTTGTAAAGATTCAATAAAATAATACGTAGAAAGCACTTAGCACGGAATGTGAGTGGTAGCAAATGCTCAATCATTGTTAGAGAAATCTTTTTAAGTGTTAAGTTCCTCATTTCTAAAGTAGTAGAATAATACATGCCCTGTAGCATTATTTTATGGGTGGAAGTAATATCCATAAAACACCAGTCCTGTTCCTACTAGGCAATTGAGTGGTGGTTGTGTATATTGTTGTTATCATTGGTTTAGATAAGAAACTGAAGGTGCTAAGAACACACATCCTGATTCTATATAACTCCAATTACGCTTTTTTTAATGTTTATTTATTTTTTCTTCTGTGAGTCAGAGAGACAGAGAAGAAGCACCCCCACAGAGTCTGGACTTCATGATCCACCCCTGGCCTTGGCTAGCCCTGGATCATGGGCACATGCATGTCCTATGAACTCATAAATGTCTCCAATTGAGAACCTGGAACCTCCCCGTTGGTTGGCCTCACAGAATGTCGCATTTTACTGCTATGCCACCATCTGCCCCCCAAATATACTTTTGATAAGTAACAAGTATTTTCTTTAGATTTAGCGCCCCTGTGCTCTCTCACCAATATGGTCTGGTGTCGACCAATTAGTCGTCCAGAAAACTTACGTGGCTGCTTGTTTTTGTGGGACTTTCTACTTTAATATCATCTATCATCAAAAGGTGCTTTGATACTGGCTCTGTTTTCTAGATTGCATTTTGTTCTTTTCTCCAAACAGTAATGTTTTTGTTTCATTAGACTCTGAAGTGAAGACTTGGATTTCAGACTCCTAGGATAGGTTGGCAGAGTTTTAGTATTGGTGGGGTTCTCTGTGGGCCTTGGTAATAGGCTCAGCAGGTATGGTATTGCACAGCAGGCCTACTCCGACCTTGTGCAAGGCTCTGATTATGCACACAGGGTAGGATGGAGAAATGAAGTGATTGAACTTTAGTGAATGCTACTCAAACACACATACTGCTCTGTCTCAGTGGTATAGGAGTCAGTGGCGTAGTTGAATGGGCTCCTATTTGGAAAGTCAATTTCTGAATGAAGTCTTTGAAGGATGAGCTCTGCCAGGTCAGAGGGAGAATCATTCTGCTATTTAGAAGGTGATGGAAATAGGCCAGTCCTGTAGTGTAGTGGAAAAGCTCTGTGTAAAGTGACCCAGATCCCACATGGCCAACTCTGGTTCGAGTCCTAGCCCTGGCAAATTGACAACATACCAGGCACACACGCACGCATGCTTAAATTCCTAACAGGATGCAGAGATAAAGGGGAAAATAAAAGAGCACCCAAGGGAGGGGAGGCGGGTGTATGTTCTCTCTCTCCATACATTCTGGCCATTAAAAAAGAAAAAGAAGCTAATGGAAAGTTTTACTCATGTGATCTATATGAGTGAAAGCTAGTCATAGCCTGATTAGTAGGAAATCACTACATGTAAAACATTGGTAGTGTTCCCTGATAGTATTTTGAAATATGGAGAGGGGGTGATGAAGTTGTTCCTAAACTAGGTAAGTAGACAGTCCACCAGCAGGTCTGAGTGTCAGTTCTCATTAGAGTCTCCACACCTAGCTTGAGGAGTACAAATCCTTATTGGATTAAAGTTACAGTGAACAGCTCCTTCTTGGCCAGAAGTTTGTTCTGCCCACTTTATTTGTTTTTATTTATTTTTAATTTTTCCCAGAAGGCATGTGAGCTCACTAGAGAGAGAGAGAGAAGCTGAGCGAAAGCCCCTCTCCTCTCCCCCTCCACTCCCAATGGAGGATGGTTATGCCCCCATCTCTTCTCTTCCATTTCTCCCTCCTTTTGAGATTTTGGATTCACATACATGCACTGAGCATATTGTTCAGGCCACTAGTTCTGGTACTTGAACTGCATAGTCAGCCATGTGGGATCCAGCCACCTTAACCACCTCACCACCAGCTGGACCTCTGTCTACTTTAAATGAGTGAAATTCACCTTTCTCTGAACTATTTCAGGAGTTTGTGATGTGTGTTTGTTTGTTTTACACATTGATTCTTTTCAAATAGTCATGGTCCTCTGCCCTTGGGCACTCGACTGTACTTAGGTGGAGTGATCTCTCTAAAAATAAACAGGTTTCTGTTGAACATAGACCATAAAATATATATAAGAGAAGTGTAGGATTAGTTTGATTTTGAATTATTTATAGAATCACCTCACTCTGTAGATGGAAGCACAAAGGGCTTTCTTTGGGTCAGTGAGTGAGCTAGATTCCATTAATGTTACATACGGAAGCTCAGAACTGGACCAGGGAGAAGTGTAGTGGTGCCGGGGTGGGGGGGAGAGGGGGTGAGAAGACACACACATTCTCTATACCAGACAACGTGAACTCATTTCTCATGGACCTAGAATTGCCACTATTAATAATAACTGGGGTGAGATTGGAACCTCAGGTGAGAAAATTCAACTACTCATAACTAGTCTCCTTTGTTCACTGATTCCCTAATCTTTCCAGTTTCTAGGTCTTGAAAAGAAAGAAATTTTATGACTTTGAAACTTGAGGCACATCCTCAGTAACATTCTTTTGTATAATTGGTCTGTTTTTTTAGCATTTTTTAATGTGAAAAGTGATTAATTTCTTCCTAGCCTGTGATTAAAATACCAAAGTCTAATAAAAGCTTTCAAAACAAGAGTTAATATTCAGAGAAATGGAGCTATTTATTTGATCATCAGACATCACATGGGGTAGCAGAATTTAAATTACCAAGTGGCTGCAATCTGTTTTTGGCTTTCTTTCCTTTCCCTGGAATAGAAAGCTTTCTTGAGAATATCCAGTTTTCTTCTGGTTGCATGTTCTGAATCATCGCTTTTTTTTTTGCTGGGGGGGGGCATGTGTATTCACCAGAGAGAGATGGGGAACACCCCCACTCCCATGGGGTATGGCCACACCACAATATTGCCACAATGCTGTCAGGATTTGGGCACTTATGCACATGTACCTGGTATGTTTTTCAAGCCAGTGTGTCCATGACTTAACCCTGTAGTTGGCCATGTGGGATTTGGCTGCCTTAACCGCTGGGCCATGGAGCCATCTCTTAAGTCTTTCCTTAATCATGTGCACTGAAGAGCCATATCCCTGCAGGGGCTTTATTTATGCAGAAGTAGAGAGCCAACTAGGTATATTCATATATTCATGTAAAAGCCAACTCTGAATATCTACGTATACCATGCAAGCAGTAGAAAATAAGGGAACTTTCTAGAAGGGTAGCAGGAAATGCCATGGTATCAGAAACGTATTTATGTTATTAAAATTATCCTGAAAATATTTTGTCGTCAAGTGAACTGAAGAGGAAAATAAAGTTATTAGACTTCTAGAATTTTTTTATTTGCAACTTTCAAAAACAATGGAAATTAACTTGGTAAGAATAGAAAAACATGTAGTATGCAATACACAGCATATATTTCAGAACGAGTCTCTTCTCACTGTGTTTTCAGTCACTAAAGGCCTTTGTCCAGACAGAAGTTCCAAGAGATGGAAACAAAGAGTAAATCTTTTCCGATGCTTTCCAAATGAATTATGGTCGGTTGAACTATGGCTGACCAGGAGAGCTAATGGACAGATTATTTTACAGGAAGTAACTGGGCACTCTGGTCTTTCTCTTTTTCTTTACAATCACCTTCTCTTCAGGGACCAAGGACTTATGGCCTGAAATACAGAGTCCTAAGCTTATTAACTCTGTGATCAAGAGCCAAACTTGATTCATTCACAGCTGGGCCACAACAATGTGAGACTCTGCTTGCTCTGTAATGCTTTGAAGTAAGGAAGACGAAAATAGCACATCTCTTAGAAACCTCTTTCTGTCCTTTCGTTGGGGGAGGGGAGAGGAAATAAAAAAGCCTTCTTTATCAGATGCAGTATCAGTTAGCAAGTCACTGGAGACCTTAATTTATCTGTAGACCTTATTTTTGGCTAAATATTTCCACAGGGAAGAATGTAACCTTTTATTTGGTTAGCCACTTAAAACTGAATGTATTTGCAGAGTTTTCTCACTCCCCAGGGTGTGATTATTCACTGATCAGAACGATCTGCCAAGATGTGAGTGAAAGGTCCCGTAAGTGAATATTCAGCTATAGTCATTGAGAGGGTATGGGGATGTAGATTTTAAAATAAAACTCACCAAAAATGTGATCACTTGGTTAATTAGCAATGACTTGCTGTTAAATTCATTTAGAGAGAAGTGAAGTGATGTGAAGCGAATCTTCACTTTGCTACCATAATATTTAATCATACTACTGTTTACATTTCTATGTACTGCAGGTTAATTTCAGAGTCCACATCTACGTGTACAAAAAGCGACAGAATTTAACATGCCACAAGTTTTACAAAATACCACTTGGAAAAGTCTATTAAGTAATCCAAATTTGGGAGCACTATAACTTATTAGTGTTGGGTTCTCAATAAGATTGTTCTTAGAGTAGCTGGGTCATCCATCTTCATCGAGAGTTCTTCATTTACTTCTTTGTTGGGAAAGTTACCAGGAATAACTAATCCAACATTCCAGCCAAAATGTTACCAGCTGGAGTGACAGGTAAAATTGGGCGCTCTAGTGAATGAGTCGTGCAAGCTGAAGTGGTACAGTGAGCTCGCGGGGTGCTCTAGTGAATGCGTCGTGCAAGCTGAAGTGGTACAGTGAGTTCGCGGTCATAGACCTTAGTGAAGATGATGATCATCTTCTGAGAAATGCCATTCTTTGACAAATCATTATATCTTTTCTCAAAACTCCTGTTTTTGATCACTCTGCATCAAATTTTGCAAGCCATTTTAAAGTTTTATCTTTTAAAGTTATTTTTATGTTAAATATTTTACAGTTAATAATGTGTTTATTTTGAATGTGTTCAGTCAAGATGATTACCTAAAATATTCTGAATGTTTTTTCTCATAATGGTGTTTATGTAAACAGTGAATTAAAATGTGTGTAAGTATATTAAGTGGCTTTGGAATTTAAGAACTGATTTGTCTTAAATTCTTCAGGCATGTACTTACCTAAAGAGAATCTTTCAGTTCATATGTAACCACTTTTTCTAGGTCATGGGATGTGGAGATACAAAAATTACTTGTGTGCAGTTTCACAAAATGCGTTGCTCCTGTTTCATTATAATTACATAATTATATGACAGGAGAGCATTTTTCTCCACAGTGGAATTTCCTTGTAGAAAGGCAGTGGTTAGATAGCTATATCTAAGCTGCTTTCCATCATTTTGTAAGACGATCCAGGTACTTGCTATCATTCCATTTATGAATTTAAGTCACCAACTCCTTGGAGGAACATAGGACTCTCCAATGGACCCATAAGAAGGTCCTGTTCCTTACCTTTTTTAGGCAGTTTCTGCCTTTTGATTGTGTTAGGTTACTGGACACTTGTCACATCCACTCTATAAAATAATGCACACGAGTACATGGATGAGCAGCTATGCTAGGCAAGGTGAAAATCAAAGTTATGTCTGACCCATAATTTTGGCCTTAAGCTGCTGCCTCCTCCTTCATTTATTTTTGATAACATACTTAATTGGTTCCATGTGGGCAAAGCAATTTACCCTGAGATGATTATTTCCGCTAGTGGGATATGCAGGCTCAGCCATCTGCAAGGGAGAACAGTTGGCTCCTGCAGTTGAAGTGTTTGAGTGTCTGCAGCTTTCAAATAGGCCAGGTACTTTTACAAATTAAAATGAAAACAAAAACACATAGCTTTATGAAAGGGGAAACTTTTCCAAATAGCAAAGCAAGCCAATGATTAGTGCTAAGAAGCAATTAAAAGCACTTGGATGAAAAGACAGAAACAGCCTGATTTGACATTCCTTGTTGATCCTTCTGCCTATGATGAGGAAGTCCCCTGGTGTCCTGAGCCCTCTCCAGAGCCTGCCTCTCATGTGATACCTCCCCACCTGTGCTTACAGCCTGGCAAAGAATACAGGCACCTGTTGGTCAAGCTCTTCAGAAGGCAGAAAAGATAATTCAGGGATGGAGAGAGGAAATAGACAAGAGGTCCTCCTGGAATGGTGAGCCTCACACCTACCTCTCTGCAAACACTTCACTCCAATGCCGCTCCTGATCCCTGGCAATCACTACCCTGCTCTCCATTTCTAAAACTCTGTCATTTGAAAAATGGGATATAAAAGGACTCTTACAGTATATAACCTTTCAGGACTGACTCTTTTGCCTTTGGAATAATTCCCTGGAAAGGCATCTAAGCTGCTGAATGTATTAGTTGTTCATAGCTTTCTATTGCTGACTGGTATTCCATAGTATGGGTGTACCACAGCGTGTTTAATTATCCCGACATTTAAGGCTATTGGGATTGTTTCCAGTTTAGGATGATTACCCATAAAGTTACTTGAGCATATGTGTATTTCTCAGGGACAGAATCATCAGAGTGCATCTGCTGGGTCTTACAGTAGTTACATATTTAGGTTTTAAAGGAATTGCCAAGATGTCTTGAGAATCTTTCTTAAAAAATGAAAGTGTCTGACTTTACAATGCAGGATTCTGTTCCCAGTCTAAAAAAGTAAATGTTTTGTTCTTGGTCCTTTTGTAGCCACACCATATCCTGGCGGATTTAAGTGTTTCACCTGTGAAAAGGCAGCAGACAATTATGAGTGCAACCGATGGGCTCCAGACATCTACTGTCCTCGAGGTAAACTCTCAGTGGGCAGATGGGCACTGTCTGCTCAGAGCAAACAGCCTGATAGATTTTGGTGCATGCTAGCAACCTCAGCCGCCTCTTTTGTCCAACACTGTCGCTAGATCTTTTAGATTACATCAGAACTTACATTAAAGACTCTCAGAGACAATCTGATCCCTAGACTTGCCCCCATTTTCATGACACATCTTTGGAGCTTCATGGGAGGTAAGTGATACACCCTTCCCCATCTAGGTCCAGCCAAATGCAGAACAAGGAGAGCACAGCTGGCCTGTTCACCGCTCTTTAAAGCATTAGTCATTGTGTAATAATCTCTTTCATGTAAAGCATGAATAGATGTTCCTATAAAGATGCCATTTATTACATATTTCCTGGAGATTTTCATGCAGTCTCAAGTCTCCTGTCTTGAGACTGCATGAAAACCGGCATTCTAAATGTCATCAGTGCACAAATAAAAACTCTGAGCTTTTTAAACCATTAAGTTCTCTTTGAAAGATGCACTGGGTGTCCAATTGGAGCATGAAATTTGGACTCAGAGGCCCCTTTCAAAATGAAGAAGACCATCATATTCATGTTTCTTTTATCCTATGAGATTAAAAAAAAAGATGGTTATATTTGGCTATGGAGTCACTGTTAACTGGATGTTTTATTTTGGAGGAAAGTCGACTCACTTGGTGGAAGAGATGGTGAAGATGGGCATATTGCGAATGAAAGATTGATTGAGTAGTGTGTAGATTGATTGAGTAGTGTGTATGTTTGCTGCTGATCTTGTTCGGTTGTTAAAATAACTAAACACACCAACACCAGGCTATTAATTTTTTTTTTTTTTGCATTATACAAGAGCTCTCAAATTCAACCCAATGAATGACACTGTTTCTCATAGAGGACTGGGAATTTGGAGAGTGTGGAAACTACAATAAGAAGGCCAATGTCTGACCCAGCCACAGTGGTACAGCCATAGTGTAACACTCTGTGGTGCTTGCAGCCATGGGGAGGATGAGAGATCAGTTTCTAGGTGAACCCGTATGTGCTGGGCACATGCACAAGTGATTCTGGCTGACTGAGAAAGGCTAGTGGGGAGGGAATGCAGTGTTAGACCTTGTTGAAGATGTTTATCTTTCTCTCTTTCTCTCTCTCCTCTGTTGAACACAAATAAACTTAGAAAAATAAGGTCAGATGTCAACTACCTAAGTCAGTACCATTTAACCCAGAAGCCTCCGTCTAGGCTGTCCAGGAGAAGCACTGGTGGAACTTTTCAGAATCATTGATCCCTGTGCTCTGTATAGAACAGTGGTTTGCAAGCTGTAGTATGATCATCATTCACTGGAGGGCTTATTAAAACATAGAGCTCTACTGTCACCTGCCCCCTACCCAAATTCAGTAGATCAATAGATTCAATAGATCTGAAATAGGGCCTAAGAATTTGCATTCCTAGAGAGTTCTCTAATGAGTTAAGAACCACAGCTCTATACAAAGTGAAACAGCATCTCTGAAATTAGGAGTCTGCTTTGTTATTTTTAAATATTCCTGGTGGGGCCAGCAGATAGCATAATGGTTATGTCGCTGGACTCCTGTGTAGTCAACTGTGTTTCGAGTCCTAGACCAGGTGACTTAAACTCATGCCAGCTGCATATGTGTGTGTGCCCAAAATCCTGAGAAGAGAATGGGGGATAAGGGATTGTGGTGTGGCCATCCCCACTGGGGATGACTTCTCACTTTCTGTCTCTCTGTCTCTTCAGTGAGCACACAGTCCCTATAGCAAAACTCTTTCTAAAATAAGTAAATAAATATTCCTTGTGATTCTAATAAACAGTCAGGGACACAACCACTGGGAGCTGCTCGGCCCAGGAATAGGAAAATGTCGTGTTGCCATTTGTTCACTTTTTTTTAATGAGAGAAGAGGAAGAGATAGAGATGCATTTTCGACAAGGTCTTGCTCTTCTGCAGTCCTCCTGTCCTAGCCTCCCAATTAGCTATGATTTCAGGCATGCACTGCTGCACCCATCATGTTCAGGTTGGTCTGAGATCTGAGTCCTTGCCTTGCGTGCAGCACCAGCGTCATGCATTGGTGCCCTACCACCTGTGCTGCTGTGCCCAGGCCTCCTCCATTTACTTTCAGGTAGAGATGATAATGGGGTCCCAAAGACTACAGGGAAGAGAAGAACATGGAGACACTAAAGATTGGTTTAATCACGAGCTCCATCTCCAGCCACCTGGGTAATCAAAAATAAGGCCTGTCCTTACTGCCTTCTGCAGCCACTGCTCATTTCCAAGTGAGCCCGTGTTCTCTAACATGACCACTGCAGAATGAACAGTCGGGTAAGTGGCAAATGGACCTGGCTAAACCATTGCTTCTCAAACTTGGCTGTGCACTGAAACCACCTGGTAAAGTTTTGAAACTACTGGTGCCTGGTTCCATTCCCAGAGATTCATATTTAAATGGTATGGGGCATGGCTTGGCATAAAGATTTTTATAGAGCTCCCCAGGTAGTTCTAATATGAGACTCCTTTAAACAGTGACTCTGAACAAAAATAAGATTTTTTCTATTTTTTATACGTTCATTTACTATATATCATTACAGCTTGCAAAATAAGATTTTTTTTTTATATATCCAGAAATTTTGAACTAGTTCCTACAGGGATGAAAATGGCCAATTAGCTTTTGAAACTGTTGCCACCAGTCAGAACTGAAGTATAGGAAGTTGTGTCGATTTGCTTGTGGTGCTTTAACCATCAACTGAATAGTTTGTAAATGACAGAATGTATTTTGTCACAGTTCTGGAGTCTGGGAAGTCCAACTCCAGGTACCAGTAGGTTCTAGTGAGGGCCTGTCTCTCTGCTTCCAAAATGGCTGCCTCATCTGGGAGGGAAGGAACGCAGTGCTCTCACATGGTGGAAGGTGAAGGCAAAAGGGGTTGAAAAGACAAAAGGGAATGAACCTTGAATCCCCTGTCTCAAGCTCTTCTGTAAGTGCCTAATTCCATCCATAAGGGTTCCACCCTTATAATTGCTGTTTATTTTAAGAGAGATTTTTGCTATCGGACACATGCTCTTGCCAGAGAAACAGAGAAATAAAGAAAATGAGAAATAACTCCCCAGGGGTGATGGCCATGTTGCAATCCCTTCTCTCCTGTCGGAATTTTAAGCACGCTTGCATGCATGCACATGTGCCTGGCATGAGTTTTAAGCCGCCAGGTCTGGAACTTGAACCACAGTCGACTACGTGAGATTCTGGCCGTGTAACCATTATGCCATCTGCTGGTCCCCATAATAACTTTTTAAAGCCTCATCTCTTTTTTTTTTTTTTTTTTTTTTTGGAGAGATTTTTGCTATAGGGCATGTGTGCTCGCCAGACAGACAGAGAGATAGAAAGCGAGAAATCACCCCCCAGGGGGGATGGCCATGCCACAATCCCTTCTCCTCCATTCTCCTCTCAGGATCTTGGGCACACACGCACACGCGCCCGGCGTGAGTTTAAGCCACCGGGTCTGGGACTCGAACCGTGGTTGACTATGTGGGAGTCCAGCGACATAGCCATTACGCTAACAGCTGGTTCCAAGCCTCATCTCTTAATATTATTGCATTGGTGATTAAGTGTGATTAAGTTTCAGCACATGGATTTGGGGAGATACATTCAGATCATAACAAAATGAGATTATATGTCTCCTGTCTCTGAGATACCTTAACGGACACAGTGGAGAAAGGGAATGTGAACTGATGCTCCCTGTGAGTTTTGGGCTGCATTTATAGAGGCCCCTCTAAGTCTGACGCTATACAAATACATCCCTGTCAGAAAAACAAGTGACCAGAGCACTATGCTTGAACGTCTCTCAGGGAAAAGAGGAAGTCCCAACTTGAGACTTTCTTTGGAGGTCAGAATCGATCTTCTCAAAGTACAGATATCTAGAAGTATCACAGTTTATCCTTTTCCCTCCATTTTTGTCTTTTCATCCTTACATATCTAGGGATAAACTCTAAGTCACGCACTAAGGTTCATGGCACCAGTCATGTAGGCTCCTTGGGGGATTGTGTAGTGAGAGGAATCAAGTTTCTTCTTTCAAGAAGCAGGCAGTTTAGCTGGGCAGATAAGATCTGAAGGTATGGAGTGTCAGAAACTACAGGACAAAGGTAAGTGCCAAATGAAACATGGCATTAAGTGCTGTGGGAGCTTAAAGGAAGAACAGCTATTTGGGGACCGAGTGGCCGGTGAAAGCATCGTGTGCTGGGGAGACTGCAACGGCCCCACACCTGGGAAATGGAAGTAGAACCTCAACAAGGGCATATCATCTGGGAAATCGCTCGGCAAAGGCATGGAGACAGGATTCTTCAGGTGTGCTTGGTGATGAGAGCGATCGGACACGGGAGTAGAGCTAGTTTGTGTTGGTGAAAAAGTAACAGAGCTGGATTATTTTTGTGGAGCCTTGAGTACCAGGAGTGGAGATGGCTTCCTCATCAACTAGTTCTAATTCCCATGAGTCTTCTATTCTTTCTTCTAGGTTTTCTCCAGATGTTTTGAACCGTGAAAATAATGCCTTTTTATTTTTAGATTAAAATACTAAGCGTGTTTACTAGCTAAGCCCAGATGCTTTTTCTTTTAAAGTTTATTTATTGAGAGAAAGAGAGAGAGGGGAGATAGAGATAGGCACTGTTGTCATGATCTTACCATGTCATGATCCTCGGGCCGGCCTCGGTCAAGGGTATGCAGGCGTGCCAGATGTGTTCAAGTTAACAGGGGATTTGAACCTGGACTTGCCTGCTACCTGAGTCACCATGGCTGGGCCTAGATTGTTTTTTACTTTTTATCATTAAAGTAGCTATAGGACTATCAACAGGCTTAGCAAGGGCAGCTCAAAAGCTACTCTGGAAAGTTGTCCTGACTTTCTGAGACACGTTTTCTGTTTTGTGACATATTTAACTAGGTTTTAACCATCACATGATCTGGAAATATGTTAAAAGTGAAAACATCATTTCATGTATTTAATCCTATCTATATG